TTTTCTAACGATCAAGAAACATAGTGCATCATAGTCATTTTTCAGGAAATGTAAGATAGTTTTAATGGTAAACTTCAGACTCAAATTGTTTTAAAAATAATCTGAGAAACATCTTTTCTGGAAATACAATCAAAGGTAAAAGCAAAGGATCTGAAAAAACCCATCAGTCAAACAGGAAAGGACTAAAAAGAATGATTAATTTTCCATTTCAATAGTTTGCCAACTTCTCAAGTATAGGCCTGTGGAAAACAAAATTAAATAAACTGAGTGTCTGGCAAAGGAAACACTTAGGTTGAAAATAATCAGAAAAAGACCTTGGGTTTAGTTTTATTACAGGAAACAGCACTTCATTGTAAGGTGGGCTTGCCAGGCTTTGTTTACCCGGCCTCTTCGTGAAACATTTCTGGTTTTCCTCCTGAGTATTCCGCTTGGAAGACAGGTGAGGCGTCCTTAATCAGGCGCACAGCTCCGTTTCTCTAAGGCTCGCGCTTAGGTCTGGAAGTTCAGTCCTACCGGCCTCTACAAATAATGGGCATCATTCACTAGGGCTCTTTCCCCCAGGCTGCCTACAGAATTAATAGCTGACTATATCAAAGGTCTCCAGGTTTGCAGCTGGTGAGGTAGCTCGAGTTACTCATTAAGCAGATTTTCCTCTCCAGTGTTTACCAAACAGACCTCCTACTCTACAGCTCACTTACGCAAGAATTCAAATAGAAGGAAACCATTCAGTTCAAGAAGGATCAATGTGACAATGCCAGCTCTTTTCATAAACCTGTGAATGTAGGAAGAACTTTAGCAGTTTAGACACTCCTGTTTAAAATGCACTAACTGGGAGTTGGGGGGTGGTGAGCGTGCAGGAAGGGGGAGGAGCCTGAGAGTTTCGTAGAGTGCCCTCCCTATCCTGATCGTCTATGCAAATCACTTTTACCGAGACACAAGGCCCATCTCCTCCAAAAAACCAGCAGTGAGTCCATCCTTTGACCTCCCTAGCTTTTATGGACGGTAACACCCACCGAGCAGTTTAACAGTTGCCATCTCATATCGTTACTTGATTTGTTTGCATCTTGCGTACTAGAGTGGGCCATAAAGTTGTCAAGGGCAATATAATGAATCACAGTTGTGGTGTTTTCCCATAGTTCCTAGGACAGACAGTACCATGCACGGAAGGTACTCGATAAATACTTGAGAAAAAAAAAATCAATGAACTTAACCATTAGTGGTCACAGTCTGTTGCTGAGCGGGTTCCTAATCTGTCCCTTCATTTAGCACCTGGTCGCCCAGTAAGAACACTGATCTTTCTTCATTGTAATCACTGAAAATTACTTTTCACCCCGCAAGCAAACACATCACCAGACTCCCAGACATAAAGGGGAGTTAGCAACCAAGATATTAGACTTAAAAAAAAACAAAAAACCTTTAGGCCAATCACGCACGGAGCTCCATCAAAGATTCTGTGAATTCTGTCAAACTCACACCGGCAAAGCTCCTGGGTCCCACTGAACCTACACGTTTCAAATTCACTGCAGGCGTTTTAATGTGTCCTACCCAGCAGTGCCGCTGTGCATTTTGGAGAAAGCAGAGAATTATCTCATGTCAAGCGCACAGTCGTCCACGGTGTGTGTGTGTAAACAGTGAGCCTCAAGCACCATCTCATTTGTACATTCATTTAGCTTAAACCTTATATTAATCGCCGTAGGCTCCCGCACGTGTCCTGTCCAAACCGTGGCTGCGTTCGCCCCTCACTACCTTCATTTCAAGCGAGCGGAGAAAGCTGAGGCCCCGAGGCCCCGCCGGGTACTTACAGCGTCACCTTGGTGGTCACCGTCGACCTGCCGGCGCCGAAGGGGCTCCTGGGCTTCGGACCCTCGGCGTCGGCCGCGGCCGGCCTGCCCTGCTCCGCGGCGCGGCCGTCCCAGTGGGCGGGCAGCGGGCCCCGCTTGTGCTCCGGCCTGATCTCGGGCAGCAGCGAGCAGCTCCGCACGGGCAGCTCGCGGGGCCCGGCCCGCGCCGCCTCCGCGCTGCCCCCCGCGGGGCCCGGGGCGGCCTGCGACTGAGGATCCGGACGCGCGGGAGCCCGCGGGCCTCCGGCGGGCGCGGCCTCGGGCCCGCGGCCCCGAGCCCTCCTCTTGGTGGGGGACGCGGCCGGCGGCGGTCTGCTCCGGTCCTGCTCACCGCGGAGCGGCGCCCTGGGCCCGGGGCTGGGCCTGGGCTCGGCGCTCGCGCCCGGGGCAACGCCCCCGTCGGCAGCCGCCCGCGGGGACCTCACTTTCCGGTCGGCAGCCGCGTCGTCCTCGGGCGCGCAGCCGGGCAGCGCCGCGTCGGCGCCGGGGGAGGCAGCGAGCCTCTGCGACCTCCGCCGCCTGCCCGCCCTGCGGCCGCCCGCCCTCCGGTCCATGTCGTCCGAGTCGCCGTCGCCCTCGGGCTCCGCGGTGCCGGCCGCCGACTCGGCCGCGCGTGCCTCCTCGCTCTTGCTCAGGTAGATGTCCAACGTGAGCACCGTGGCGGGCTGCGCGCGCCCTCGGGGCCCGGCCTCGGCGGGAGGGGGCGCCGGGGGGGCGGCGGCGGCCTCGGGGGGCTGGCGGCGCGCGTCCCGGGGCTCGGGGGAGCCTCCGCCCGCGCGCACGTGGGGCGCCCCGTCCGCCAACTCGCCCGGTCCTCCGGCGGGCCGACTCCGGGTAGGCGAGCCCGGCACGCCCCCCGCGCCCCGGGCCGTCTCGGGTTCGCCGCCCCCGCAGGGCGCGGCGTCCTCCCCCGGACCGTGGGCGAGTGCGTCTGCTTGCTCTCGCCCGGAGGGCTTCTCGGCGGAGGAATGCAGCTGCTCGGCGGCGGCGTCTGCGGCCGACTCTCCTTCTGCCTTCAGAGGCTCTAATTGGGGTGAATCACCGCCGGGGCCCTGCTGCACGGCGGCCGCGCGGGCGCCCGGGCCAGGTGGCAGCTCGGCGTCCGGGGGCGCCGCCGGGGCCGGGGTCTCGCACAGCCCGCCCTCGGGCGCCGGGGGCTCCGCACGTGGGTCGGTCGGCTCCGGCGGGCTGGCCTGAGGCTCGGCCTTCGCGCCATCCCTGTCGGGGAGTTTGGGGGAGGTCACATCTCGGGGAGGCACTGGCTTGGCATTCGAGCTGGGGGGACCCTCTAACTCGTTTCTGGTGTTTCTTCTCCGTCCCGGCGTGAACAAATTGCCAAGTTTCCCCAAAACTGGCTTCCTTTTGTTCTCTTCTGGTGGTTGGGCTCTAGACTGAAAAACAAAAGGGGGTGGGGAGAGAATATATGAGAATCCGACTTTTTCCTCCTTACTAGTAGGTGCGTTAGGGAACTGCAAGCCGAAATAACAGGCCGGAGCTTCTCATTGAAAATGGGAGAGTTGTTTTTGTTGCGCTCATCCCAACAAAATTAACTCGGATTTTACTTCTCGAATTTTTCTTAAACACCGTCTATGATTGGCGATACTCAGGTAACATTTCCTTTCACTGTGATTCTTGTGCTTTCAAGGAAAATCCGGAGGGCCCCAAAAATTACACATACAAAATAAACAATTCCTGGGTCACTCCAGCTTTTGCCTTTTACTTCCCTCAATAAAGATGCAACTTCAAAACAGCCCTGTGCGACTGTAGAGCAGCAGTGGACGCGCTCAAGTACCTGAAGGCGGAATTTTTCCTGAACCATCATCACTCTCCTTGTGGGAGGGAGGCTGAGAAGCCACCTGGGTTCAACGTAATTGCAAACCACAGCCTTCGGGAGGCGGGGTGCCAGCACCTGGGCCCGCCCTCCGCAGACCTGTGGTTCCCGCGCGCCTGCGCTGCTCCAGGGCGGCCGGCACGCGGGCCTCAAACGCCCGCCCCACCCAACCGGTCCAACCCCGCGGGTTCCCAGGGGTGCGAATTGGGAAGGCACCCGGGGGAAGGGGGGCGAGCTCCGCACACGCTCCCCTCCCGTCCGGGGGAGGCGCGCCGCCCCCAGCGCGTGGGGCCCTGCGCCCGCGGACCTCAGCCCCGGGAAGCGCCCGGCCGGAGCCCCAGCGCGGTGGGAGGGGGCCCGGGAAGGGGCAGGTCCTGCTCAAATAGCCCACAGCAGAACGGCTCCCGCCTGGAGTCCGCACCGGCCAGGAGGGCGCCTGGAACGAGTCCGTGAAAGCCAGCCCGCCGGTGGGCGCCGCGGCGCGCGGGGAGGGGAGGTGGGCGGCCCTGCGGGGGGAGCAAGCGCGAGCTGGGAGCCCACCCTGGCCTCCTAGGTGGGGGGAAGCATGTTTGGGTAGCGACCCACTGAAAACTAGCCAAAATAAACCCAATTTCATTTAGGTTATATGCAGCCAGTGGACTTTGGAGATGGTGGGAAATAGGAAAGACTAAGATAAAGCTTGGAATTAACAGGGTCAGCAAGCATTTATGGAGACAGTCCTGGCACTGAAACATCAGGTAATTCTGCAACAGCCTGGTGAGATGTGTTACCCCACCGCGGGGATGAGAAGGTGCAGCTTGGACAGCCAGGAGAGTGTGCGACGGAGGAGGGGCAGTAAAGTCAGCATTCAAACCCATGTCCTCAGCCTCCAGCCTGTGCTCCCAGAGGGGCCGTCAGACGATATGGAGGTACCGTGGGTACCCCTGAGAAAGTCAGCCTGGAGGAACAGATTGGCGGCCACACACTCCCAGAAATAGCTCCTGAGGAAGCAACTCATAAATCAGGTTTACCCACAAATTCCAGAGGTGATTCTTCTGGTTTGAGATGCACTTGCTGGGAGCTTTGGAACTAGACAGCTGCTCCACGAAGGGATGGAATGATTTTGCAGCCCCTGGGAGCTTTTGTGACTGAGCTGATATGATCTCCTCAGCGTAACCAGGTTTTGATTAATAATTCAATTCTTTAATGGTTATATAAATAATACAGGAATAATTCACAGTGTAATTTGGTAAAAAAATACATTAAAATATTCCAAATTCCTAAGGAATATATTTGGACTCTTTTACTATGCATTATTAAAAGACATGACCAAAGATGGAGTCACTCATGTTAATGACCCTGTGTCAGGAAACCAAGATTTAATACCCATCCTAACAAGGAATGTAACCTTTAACTGGTCAATATGGGACTTCCTAGTCACCACTAGGAAATTTAGTGATAGAGCCTTGTCTGTACATGAATGTCCATTCCCTCAGAGGGCAATCTTGTCCAAAACAATGGAGACTCTGTTAATACTTTCCTTTTTCCCCCCATTCCCTCTCTACCTTTAACACATTTCCTCCTCTGAAGCTTAACAAAACTCCCCTTAACCTGTTAGATGAAATGATGCCTGATTCATGAACTAATTAATTAGCCAATCAGATCATTAAATTTACTTGGTTGAATTTTTGTTATTTAACAAAGTCAATGGTATTACATGATTTTAAACATAATTCAAGTTTACTGAGCCTCCTTATGTGCTAGACACTTGCTAAGTGATTTACATAGATTCTCATCTAATTCTCCTAATAGCCCTTAAGATAGATACTCTGTTTATGCCCATTGGCCAAGGGTGCTTATTGCTGCCCCAGGTCCCACAGCCAGTGGTCTCTAACTCTGGAGCGGGAGCTCTTTCTCTCTGTTGCGGGGACAGGTCTTCAAGCACATCCTGAAAAGGAAACTAGATTGGAGTTGATTGGCTCAATTCTAGCTTGGGTCAAAAGAAAACAGCTAAGCCTATGTATGATTCTGTCTTGCTGATCATGTTGCAATCTATTCTTCCCATGTGGTTGAAATACGCCTCATCAGCAGCCCTCTGTGCTCAGTCCAGGCATTTTTTTCATTTTTGGCTCTAACTGCTTTTTACAAAACCGGTTGCTCTTCTTAAACTTGGCTTCATCAATGAGTTGACTTCTCCCCCACCTCCCCAAGGGGCAGCCGGTTTCTCACCTGCCAGGCTGCTCTGTCTGTTGAACTTCCTAGAATGGCAGAGTTTTATTTGTCTGTACATGAATGTTCACAGCAGTTTCATTCAGAATAGTCAAAAACTGGACACAGATGCCTTCTAACTGGTGGGTGGATAAACAAATTGCTGTACATCCACACAACAGAATACTACTCAGCCATACAAAGGACTGGACTCCCAAAACATCTAACAACATGGATAATTCTCAAAAACATTATGCCAAGTGGGAGAGGCCAGACTCAAAAGGTTAATGCTGTAGGGTTCCAATTATATGATATTCAAGATAATGCAAATCTCTATCATCACAGGAAGCAGATCAGAGGTTACCTGGGTGGGCGGGGTGGAGGAGTGGAGGGGTACAGGTGTGACTGGGAAGAGCCAGAAAGGAACTTTGAGGGGTACTAGAACGTTCTATGTCTGGATTGTGGTAATGATTACACCTGCGTACATGTCTTTCAAAACTCATCAAACTGTACACTTTTTATATAAAGTCTATCTTAATAAAAGTTAAAAATGAAACTTTTCCCTGGAAAATAAGGAGCTGAAACACAATCCATCTGGCTCAGGTGCGCATTTCATAGTTCTTAGTCAAAGGGAGTCTCAAGTCAGGGCGGTGTGCAGAGGCCCAGGCGGCAGAGGCTGCGGGCTGTTCTCTGATTCTCCACCCGCAGCTGCCACCCCGCGAAAGTCCCCTTGGTACAGTTACATGTAATTTCAGGGATTTCTGACATCTCCTTAACTAACGGGGAACAAAAGATCAGGAAATGCAAGACAAGCTGTTAATATACTACCAAAGCGTTCATACACCAAAATGTTTGGACTTCCAGGCCAAATAGTCGGCTTACTGCTTGCTTCTTTCCCCCCTAGATTACCCATTGGAGTCATTGCTTCAAGTTTAGAAATATTTTACCTGACACCATGTTTGCATGTAGAAGAAAAACATGTTGAGCATATTATTTGAAAATGTACTAACATACTGTTTAAAAATAAGTTTTCCACATGTTTCCAACCTTTTCATTGCCCAGCGGAATATAAGCCTGTGAAGAGCAGGAGAAATGTACCGTCTGCATCTCAAACCCTCAGCACAGGGCCTCACAGACAGAGGCGGAGACAGACTATTGGCTGCTCCTGGAAGTAGGAATGTCCCCTTCCTTTCAGACAGGGTGTTACCAACATTCTTGGAGGTGACTTAAAACGTGATTAGGTCCAAGCTAAACAAAACGGAATGGAAATCTTTTCTGCACGGGCAGTGTGGCCAAGAATCTGCAGCTCCTTCTGCTCCCACAAGGCTTCTGCACCGGGATTACGGCTGCGGGCACACAACACGCCTGCAGCCGGCTCCTGGCCTGAGCCGGACTTGAGAAAGCAGATCGAGATCTTTTCACAGGTTCTCACCTGTGCCTCCTGCTGAAATGTGGTCACTCATGTACAGAGCGACCCTTTTTTGAAAACACTGGTGATTCCCTAAGCGCTCACTTTGATCTCCCTAAGCCACGATGAGGCGTGAGTCCAGCGAACAGTATTGGGAATGATATGATTGGCCACATTACTGCGATAATTCCTGAGGTCCTCAGCATATGTGTAGGTGGGTTTTGCACTGGTGAGGAACTTTTTTTCTGCATAAATATTTTTTAAATGGCTTAAGTTGCGTGGCTTGAAAAATATAGGGATTTAAGCTACTTCGCCCTTCAACTTCTGAAAGTAAAAACAAGGGTTGAAAAATTCAGCTCAATAAAAGCAAGAAATACTTTCAAACCCTGTGACAATGAAAGAATAAGGATGGGGAGTGGGAGGAGAGAAGGGGGAGAAAAAACGTCAAAGCTAGAGCGAAAATCTGACGTAGGGATAGTTTGAAACACGGACGGCAAGGAAGACTTCCATGAGATGTCACTCTTTTCTTACTATTTCCAGGACATTTATGCTGAAGACTTTTAGAATTCCAGTCACACTTCCCCACAGTCGGTGTACACCAGGACAACCTGTCAGTCCCAGAGCCCCACACAGATGAAGTCACATTAAAGGGGGAGGGGGAACCCAGAGTTGGGTCCCCGATGCTACTACACCCATAGAATGGGGATAGGCATTTAAAATGACCTACTCGCCTCTTCATCCCTGAAGTCTGTGTTTTTCTTTTTGATATCGCTTGTGCTAATATCTATGGCCCACTCTAAACACACACAGATATACCACAAAATTCAAAAGAAGAAATGCTTTTCGCATAAATAAGCCTTGACATTTGAAGCATTAAAACTTCTCGTTTTAACTTTTTAAATAAGTGTTTTTCTCTTACACATTATACAGTTGCCTCCCTCAGAGTCGACTGCATGCAATTTAGCTACTTCTGAATGATTCTGGACACATCACATGGACCTCTGACTTGTCCTCTGTGCTATTACGATGCTTTCTTCCAGGGCCGTTACAGTGGGTGAAGACGCAGGCTTGCGCTAAATGACCCACAGACTGTAAACAACATGGTCAGTAACAAGCAGGCTCTTATGAAAAGGTGTATGAAATCACTGCACTCAGTCATTTTTCGTGTCTGGTGCAAGGAATGACCCTTTACACCAGACTTCCGGAGCCTCTCTCCGCCGTCAGCATTCCCACCTCGCAGGGTCAATGCCCGCTTGGCCCTGCACTGTCTCTAGCATCTGCCGGCACCCCTGGTGCCCACCCCTTTCTGCTGCTCACTGTGCTTTCCCCTGGTTTGTATTTCTTCTTGGTCTGTTCAGCTTGAGATGACACATACTTCTCCACTTTCCACTTCCATGTTTGTTTTTTTCGAATGCTGCCACTTCAAGCCAAATGACTACCACGTCCTGTTGTACAAAAAATCGTGGGTGTACTACTGGGTGAATGAACAGCGACAAACCAGCCTTTTTTTTTTTTTTATAACTTTCACGCTTAACAGTGACCTGAAGAAGAGGCATTATTGAGTATGAAAGCCATCATTTATAAAATAGTCCAATGTTCATTATTCCAAAAGTATTTTCTGCTCCTCCAGAGGCTTACTGAAACAGGTAAAGGGTTTCTTTTAAAAAGGAGATTCCTATTTCCAGATAAGCATTGTGTTTAGGTCATTTATTTTTTGATGGTAGCAGAGTGAAACCTCATTGTTTAAAGCCAATGACACTTGATCGATCAAAAAGGAAGGCGAAATCACAGAATGTGTGAATTCACTCATGCATCCCACTAATAATCACTGAGAGGCTGCTGGGTACCAGGATTTTCTCCTTATCCTAAGGAAGAAAATGGTGGCCCAAAGAATAAATAATTTTCTCAAAAAGACTCAAGGTAGACTTTTGAAAAGTTAGCTCAGTTTCTAAAAGTTAGCTCCCAATTGAAATACTAATACACCATTAGAAAGATTTTAATTACTAGAACGTGATTCATGTAACACTTCTATAAACGTTCGGACTGCATAGAATGTGTTACACCTGTGCGGTGGGCTCACGGGCTCCTAGGCTTGGCAGTGTGGTGATGGGCAGGAACGGTAAAGAGCTCCCGCTGGGGGACACTGTGTCTAGACTCAGACAACTCTGTGAACAGTGGTTGTTTCTGTTTGCTCGCCCAGATATGTATTTCCCAGAAATGTGTCTGTTTTCTGTAATTTATAGTGAGAATTACTGATGTTCTGGCAATACTTTTCAAATTAAGAAGCAGAATGCATCATGCTTTCATGGGGGAAACGCTACTCTATAGGGATTAAATAATTTATCCTAAAAAATTCCTATCTGTCATACAGGGTATTGAGAAATTCATGTGAAATGATATGTGTGGAGATGCTTTGAAAAGCATGAAGTGCCCAAGACAGTGATGGCTGGCACAGCGAGCAGTCTGATATCTTGCTGATGCTTCAAAGCCCAAGTTTATAGAAGTTAAGTGAATAACTAATATGATTAATTTATGATATTCTCCATTTAGAATCATAAATTACTAGGTCATTTTCTAAGAGTTCTTATGTCTCCTGAGCATGGCATTATTACTTATGAGCACCGATCTCCAGTATGTCATGGTTAGAATAAAGAAAACATACAGAATTCTACTCCTCTTTCCCCCAGATCATAACGTATAGAAGGCATGCAACTAGGATCACCCAATGTAAAGCAGCACCTCACCTTCTGTAACATCCCCCCCTCCATCTCCATCGCGCTGGAACAGTACTTCCTCCCTATTTGCGTACTTTGTGGTCCGTCTTTTCTTACAGAATGTAAGCTTCATGAGAACAAGAGTGCAGTTTCTCACCACAGTGCCCCTTACCTTGCCTCAATGCATGGTAAAAACAGGCACTCGATACATATTATCAAATGAACACACCGACCATGTTTCCCAGAAATCCCTTCTCCCCGCCCTTCAGCAAGCCGGATCCTGCAGCTTC